GTGTTTCCTATTGTCTTCAAACTAGTCCTCTCTGCTCATTTATTTACTGGCCTACCCCTTGCAGGCTTGCGTATTTGGGTACCTTGCATAAGAGGAAACAGAGTTGTGGCGGGGCGGGTGGATCAGGCCTGTAATCCTAGCACTCTGGGAGGCCGAGGTGGGAGGATCACTTGAGCTCAGGAGTTGGAGACCATCCTGAGTGAGACCCTGTCTCTACTAAAAATAAAAAGAAATTAGCCAAACAACTAAAAATAGAAAAAAGTAGCCAGGAATCGTGGCGTGTGCCTGTACTCCCAGCTACCCGGGAGGCTGAGGCAGGAGGATCGCTTGAGCCCAGGAGTTTGAGGTTGCTGTGAGCTAGGCTGACGCCATGGCATTCTAGCCTGGGCAGGAGAGCAAGACTGTGTCTCAACAACAACAACAACAACAACAACAAAAAGAGGTAACAGAGTTTCAATATCAAAAGTTCACATACACTGGCTAATATATTGTATGGGTGAGCTACTGAAAACTTACTTTGGACTCGGTCTCTTACCACCTAAGGCTGATGAGTTGAGTCATCTATCAGTAGGTCACCTCTGCCCTTTGGAAATTCTTGTGAGCCTTCAGGCTAGACTGAGCATTCTCTGAAAGACAGTGTGTCAGGTTGTAACCCTTCCTGTCTGGCAAAAAGAGCAGTGTAAATGATTTCAACCTTTTTCATTGTGAAACAACACAGAAAAATAAAATGTAATCTATTGAGGATAGTGAACATCTGTAACATCAGCACACCTGAAGTCCCTATAAAGCCACTTCTCAATCAATTCCCACCTGCCTCTCAGAGGCAACCACTGACTTCTGTGACAATCACTTCCTTACTTTTCTTCATAATTTGTCACCTAAATCTGCTTCCCTAACAATGTCAGTTAGTTTTGCATGTTTCTGAACACTGAACTTATAAATGTATTCTTCTGCATCTGACTTTTTAATTCAACGCTATGTTAAGATACAAGTTAATTTGTGCCTTCTTTTTCCTCTTTCTCAGCTTTACCAGAGGTTTCTATACTTCTCATCTTACATCGTACTTTCCTTATACTTGCAGAATACCCATTAGAAATCCCTGCTGTACAGGCATGCTGGTAGTGAACTCTGTTTTTTGTCTATACAAAATACCTTTAACCTTCACTTTTACCTCTTTCCTTTTATTCATGAATAATATTTTCTGCTGGGTTTAAAATTCTAGGTTGGCAGTTATTTCTTCCAGGACACTGAAGATGCCATCTCCATTATCTTTGGCTTGTACTCTGCTATTGAGAAGTCAACAGTAAGTCTGCCCATCACTCTTCTGAAGTTAATGTCTTTCTGGCCCTCACTGCTTTTAAGATTTCTTTGTATTTCATTTTCTGAAGTTTCTTTATGATGAATTGAGGTGTGGATTTAGTTTTACTTATATTGTTTTGAATTTGTTGAACTTCTTGGATTTGAGGACTTAGGACTTTTATTTGTTTCAAAGATGGTTAGCTATAATCCCTTCCAATATTGCTATAGAAAGCTTTCTTTCTCCTTTTTTCTGGGTCTCCAATTATGATCATTGTTAGACTTTTTCACTCTATTCTGTCTTACCTTCTCTATATTTTCCATATTTTTGTGTTTCAATATGAATAGTTTATTTTCCAGTTCACTAAACTGCTCTTTAGCTGTGCATAACTGCCTACAAACCTATTCATTTTGTTTTTGTATTTTCAGTTCTACAATTTTTTTTTGAGACAGAGTCTCAATTTGTTGCCCAGGCTAGCATGAGTGCAGTGGCGTCAGCCTAGCTCACAGAACCTTAAACTCCTAGGCTCGAGCAATCCTCCTGCCTCAGCCTCCTGAGTAGCTGGGACTACAGGCATGCGCCACCACGCCTGGCTAATTTTTATATATATATATATATGTGTGTATATATATATATATATATATTAGTTGGCCAATTAATTTATCTCTATTTATAGTAGAAACAGGGTCTCGCACTTGCTCAGGCTGGTTTCGAACTTTTGACCTCAAGCAAGCTGCCTGCCTCAGCCTCCCAGAGTGCTAGGATTACAGGTGTGAACCACCGCACCCAGCCTACAATTTATTTCTTAATCTGCAAAGCCACATTTTAGAGTTTCCAATCCCAACTGCAACTGAAGTTTGGTTTTTATTTCCTTTAATACTATATGAATAGTATTTTACAGTCTATGTCTGATAAGTCCAATATCTGGAATCTCTTTGAGTCTATTTCTTTTGTCTATTGCTTCTGCTGGCTCTCACAGTATGTCTCTCCTTGTGTACCCAATTACCTCTGATTGTGGCTGAATATTGTAATTATTTGTAGAAATAATTTGAGGACTAGGATCATATTTTCCTCTAAGATTTCATTGCTTCTACCTGGCACCCATGGGCATTAGCTAAATGGAATCATATTAGTCCAAGTAAGCCTTAAGGTTTCTGGGCCACTTTGATAATGTGAAACTGCTATAGCCAATGTGAGAGCTGGTTTGCTTCCAGTTCATTCCTGTTCCTAGGTAATCTCTTGAGGGAATCTGACCTCAAATTAGGGAACAAGGGTTCCCAGGCTCGACAAGACCCAGACCACAACTTTTATATCTTCAACCTGGCAAGGACACTAAAGGTGCTTAGGCTCTCAACTTCCTTTTTCTGACCAGCAAATGCCCCAAAATGGCCCTAATGCTAAAGCTTACTCCTCTGTGTTCATAGTCTCTCCCAAATCTCAAATCAAGAAGATTTTTAGAAATAATTGATTTAGTTTCTCTAGGTGACTTCAGTAAGAGAACTGGTTTGGGTTACCTGGCCTATCACCAGATAAGGTAGAAATCTCCCAGCCTTCTGGTATGTATTATATCCTTGGTATATGGTCTTACCTTGTCAACAACTGTCCAAGGTGGAAAAGTTTTACAGTATTCTTTGAAGAATAATGATAGTTCTTCTTGGTAGTAACTTACCCTTATAGTACAGAGGAACTCTAAGGGATGAGAGTTCAAGTTTTTGTTCCTGTAATTTACTCACTCTATGACTCTAGACAAAGATCTGTCTACAAAATTGGGTGAGCAAGACAATACCTCCACATATTAGAAGATTAGATGAAGGAATGCAAAAAAGCTGGAAAAAGCCTACTAAACTAACAAAAATCAATCTCTTTCCTCCTTTCCCTGCCCTGTGAGTGAACCATTCGTTATTGTCTATGAGTGAACCATCAATTGCTCTAGCTAATTCACCATGGCAGGACAATGGCCAGTTGACATTCCAGGTCATTCATCAGTAGCTGGCAACATTATGCAAGACATAATATTCCAGGGTCAAAAAGAGATATTTGTTATATTATCTATAATTTACTTTTAAGTATTTCTGTACACATAGAGTGAACACATGGATGAAAGTACATGGGAACACGTATACTCTCTCTCTCTCTCCACCTTCTGGGGGTAAATGGTTAGTATTTGAGGTACTCTAATTAGGAATGCATACTTCAGGTATGGCTACTATAAATGTATCAACTATGGCTTCTAAATCTATCCCAGAGGGTTCTCCAATGAGAAGAATGGTAGAAGTAATTTTTCTGATGAAAATAATAGTATTCAAGATATATGTGTTGGCTGGAAATATTGCACAGGGATCTCTAACCTTGCATATACATGTGGGTTATAGGAACCTGGCAGACTAGGCAGCCTAATATTATCTGCAGTGGCACTCTGGGCTTAAATCTCTGGTCCTGGGTCTAGACACAAAGGAATCCATCACCTGATCCAACTAAAGGGTTAGATATGTCCTGTAACAAGAATTTTTTCACATCTGTCTCTACTTAATCTTTGATATGAGATGTATATTAAAGGGACAAGGGTTGGAGCTTTTCTCAGTCTTTAAGAACATGCTGAATGACTAAATTTTGTGCCTGCTTGCTTATAAACATTCTTATGTGTGGCACAATTTGGTCTCAGATTTAACTTTATTGTTACAGACTACCTGGTAGCATAATAACCTCTAATATTAGAAGCTACTGATTTCTACCAGAAAAAAGCTTGCACTAGTAGAAGCAGCAAAACTGACTCAGCTCAGTTTGCAATAATTGTGGTGCATCAAATTTCCTAAATGAAACCTGTTGGAACATAACCTCAAAGCAGGAATATCATGATTCTGATCAAGCTGATGTACAAACTTGCCATCCTGGGCCCTCCAAGAGAAAAGGCTGTTTCTCTTCAGTGAGAAAACAACCGGAAGCTACAGAGACAGCTTTGGGGTGTGGGTTTTGCTGAGCCTGGGTGCCTGCCAAAAATACCATCTTGTTTCTTGGCCCCTAGAATGCAACAATACTCAAACTTTTTTTTTTTAATGATTTTTTCCTCAAACCACCTGGACTCTGTATTCTACTCAAAATGTCACTTAATATCTGTATTAAAAGGAATAGATGGGAGGCAACTATCCTACTTCCTCAAATAAATGCAAACCAGAAATATTTGCATTTTCATAACAGTACTGTCTTGGATTCATAGCAGCTGTATGTCCCTACTCTCCAAATGTTTTTAAAAATACTTGAAGCTGAAAATTAACTAAAATGGGAAATAAATTATGTTTGTCATAAATAGTTCCTGAGAAAAAGCTTTAAACTCTCATCCCCAACCCTGCATCTATGCTGGAGGAAACCTAGAAGTTGTTCTAGCCCACAAGATTTTCCTGATGACACAGTTTGAAATGTGACCTCAAGACACACATTCCTCTAGGTAATAAGATTCCCCTTTAAAAGGACAAGTGCCCCCAGACACAGCCTCAAGGAGCTTTACCCATCAGTCCTCAAAGCAGCTAAAAATTTAAAGTGGAATAATTTTTCCCACAAATGAGTATACTGGAATTTTGTGAGTATGAATTAATCCTGCCACATCATCGTCAGAAATAGTTAACATATTGGGTTTAAAAATTTAAAAAAAAAACAAAAACATAATCTGCTGGCTTTGGGTTTAAAAATTTAAAAAAAAGAAATAGTTAACATGGTAGGAAAGTGAATTAGAAGTTGGAAATCCTGGACTTTCATGTAATCTCTCTGGGCCTCACATTCTCTCCATCTGATAGATTGGGAAGCTCTCTTGCTAGCCCATTCATAGGACACCTGAAAGGGATACTGGGAAAACATCCATAAAATGATCCCAAAGGGACAGAGAAATGCTGTAGCACTTGAGAAGATTAAACCAAAGCACCTAATCCTCCCTGCCCATGTTGCACTGACACGGAAAATGTTGGGCGCCAGGAGGCAGCCGCTTGCCACCTCCCTGTCCTGCGGCATCTCCGGGGGCCAGCGCTGCCCAGGCCAGTTGGAAGGCGGGGCCAGTTGGAAGGCGGGGCCAGTTGGAAGGCGGGGCCAGTTGGAAGGCGGGGCCAGTTGGAAGGCGGGGCCAGTTGGAAGGCTCGGTGCTGGGGCCGCCCTGGCACAGAGCCAGGGCGGTGCGAGTGTGGGGAATGCCCCCAGGCCCACATGCCGCTGCCTGTTTCCAGCCACGCTGCTTGCGTGATCCTGATTGGGTAATTTTTAAATCCCACTGTTTTTGACTGGATGTTAAAGCTTGTTGATTGGATGTTAAAGCCTGTTGCTGACTGGATGTTAAAGCTTGATGTTGATTGGATGCCAAAGCTTGTAGTTGACTGGATGCTTTTTGAGCCCTACCTAGGGTATAAAAGCAGGAGGAGAACAAGGAAGGGGGCAGAAGGGTCAGAAGATCGGAAGACATGAAGAGAGCTGTAACACTAGGTGTGCTGAGCCTGCTGTGGAAGAATAAAGACTGGTCTCCGACTCTTCGTGTGCCACTGGGTTCTTTCCCCGGTCAAGAGCTGTAACACTAGCTGTACACATTACTGCAACAGCACTAACCTCCAACTCATTTACAGCTACAGCAAGAAAGAGCAAGATGACTGAGGCTAGAGAAAGGTTTCCAAGAAGCAATGTGGGACAGGGACGAGAACCACTGAGCTGGCAGGCAGCAGGCCTGGTGCTGAGCCCAGAACTGCCATCCTGGCCTCTTCTGTCCCTGCTTCTAAGAGCACAGAGGTATTCACAGGGATCAGACAAGAAGCCCCCCCTCCCAAGGTTTATGCCAGTTCATCTAAAGTTTTAGGCTGGACACTGACTGTAGATAACTGTACAGATCCTTTGGCTTCACAGGAAAAGAGAATTCATCCTCTCCCCCAATGCTTGCTCGGGGGAATATTAAATCTCAGCTTCATTTCGGTCACTAGTTAAAACCCTAGATAAATAGTCGACATGAAAAGAGGAAAGGGAAAGAAAAAGACACAGAATCTAATAACCTGCACATTCATAACTGCCCACCTCTTAAGGCCATGCCCTTTGTAAAAAGAACTGTTCATCCTTTTTTGTTCCCCTTCCTTTTAGTCAACTTCTAAAGATGGAAGGTTTTTTATGATTGTCAATGACAAAATGAGTGCATTTATGAAAGGAAATGGGAATGGCACCTTATCTCTGCTCATACAAAGCAATGGAAAACATTTACAGAGTGCCAACTACATGACAGCATACAAACTCTTATTTAATCTTCATGACCACTGAAAAGGATATTTTAACTATTTAATACCTGAGGAAATTGAAGCTCAAAGTTTGAGATATTTGCCTAAGGTCACACAGTTTAATGGGTAGCAGAGTCTCCGCAGCCAGTATTTATTTCTACTGCGCTAACTATATAAAAATGTCCTGCTAGCTCTTAGCACAAAAGATAATACTTTTGAGTTCCCTTCAACTAGAATTCTTATTCAGACTCATGTGCCAATTTAATCTTTGTAGTAGTTTTTAAATTTTTAAAAGGTTTTTCTTAAAAACAAAAACAAAAAAAACCCACCCCAAAGGTCAAGAATTTACCACTGCTGAGGCTATTAAGAGGAAAACACTGTGAGATTGGAAGCAATTTCCCAAGAAGAATTTGTCAACTGTTTTGATCTAGCACAGCCCAACTGAAACAAGCCCAGTGTACAGTGTACCCCTGGGAGCAGAGTGGCATAGGATGACGCAGGTCTAATTTTCCAGGTATCCTTTCATTGCTTATTGGAACATTCTCAATAATAGGAAGCACTGAATGATTAGGCAAAGAATAGCAGACGTTGTGAAATGAAGTTCTTACTTCTCCAGTAGAGCCAGCAGACATGCATATGTTTTTGTTTTCTTACCCATCATAGACATCATTCTACTATAGCAAGTCATTTCGCACTCATTTATTTTTTAAAAATCTGCGTATGCTATGATTGAAACCAATTTTCATTATCAGTCAGGTCAAACTGGACAATAAAACTCTATATGTGGGCATATTAGCAATTTTATGGAAGGTTTTACTCAGGCAACAAGTAAATGAATGGCCTTAAGAAAGTGCAAGGTTGAGCTCATGTTCCATGTTTGGGATATGTGGGAGGTTTCAATGTAACAATGAGTAATTACCACTTGCTTCAATCCCCACTTTTGTTACCCTCTCCCTTCAAGGTCCTTCTTGGAAGAGCTGACATAAAAGGAAAACGTAAAGTACAACTGAGAACTAGGAGAAACTAAAATGTTGCCTCCTGCCTTCACATATAACAGAAGGATGGATTTGCATGGATTTCTATCTCAAGTTGGAATGCCAATAAAGTTCTTAAAAATATCCAAATGCTTGAGTAAATCCAGAGTGGACTACAAAGAAACTTAGCTGCCTAGAGTTATGATGACAGGTAAATTCTGACTACTGCTAATATGACTTCCACACACTCTCCACAGTGGTCCTTGTGGGAGTCTGCGCAGTTATTTCAATGATGCTGCCCTTTCTTGAGACACTATTGAATGCACACTTGAATACAGTTAAAATGGTTCTTCTAATTTGGAAAACTTGCTTATGTCTATTTTAAAAATCTAGTGTTCACATTTGGTACACTTGCAGTCATTTAAGGACTACATGGGGGATTTTTCCAATTTTAGTCTGATGGCTAGAAATTCAAGATGTCTAATTTTGGTGTGTGCTTTAACCACCATTAGATATTCTAGAGAAGTGAAATCATGTAGTCTTTTCTTCCTTGTTAAGAAAAAATATTAGGGCATGGTGGCTCATGCCTGTGGTCCCAATGCTTTAGGAGGCCAAGGCAGGAGGATCACTTAAGGCTAGGAGTTTGAGACCAGCCTGAGCAATATAGTGATACCCCATCTTTACAAAAAATAGAAAAATTAGCCAGGCATCATGGCACATGCCTGTATTCTTAGCTACTGGGGAGACTGAGGCAGGAGGACTGCTTGCGTCTGGGAATTTGAAGTTGCAGTGAGCTATGATGATGCCGCTGTACTCTAGCCTGGGCAACAGACCAAGAACCTGTCTCAAAAAAGAAGAAAAAAAAAGTAACAAAATTTTTATAATGAAAGAATTACTTAAAACTAGGAAAGTCCAGAAACTCTAGAAAGCAATCATAAATTCATGTCACAATCATAAATATAACAAAATATTATATGAACAAGTGATAAGGACAGTAATTTCAGGAACAGGATGTTCTCGAACAATTCCTTCACATCTTCTATGGCAAAAGGCTACAGTGATTAAGTACTTTTAGAAATACATGGACAGAAAGGCTCTTTAGAAAAAAATAAAACGGGGACATTTAAAAACCCTGAAGAAGAGCAAGCAAAACCCTTCGAAGAAGTCATTGCCAGAATGTGTCCTTTTATAAATATTAAGTCATCTTTGATGAATCCCAAAGGCTTCTTGTTTTAATACACTCTGGAAATGATCTTCCAACACAATAACAAATCATCAAAAGCATCAACTAAAGTAAATGAGATGGTAAAAGATGGAAAGAAGTTAGATGAATAAATATTCAGAACATTGTGCTGTAACATTTAATAATAGCCACCACTTACAGTTTAATGGCAAATCATACCTCCACACTAATAGGCAAAGGGCATTCTGCTACCATGTCTTAGCATCCTACTAGATTGTAAGCTCCCAGAGGCACAGACCATTCCCCCCCAACCCCCGTTGTGCTTTTCATTTATTTATCTACTGAATCATGCATTAATTTTTCTCACCTTTCAAGACATATTTAATCAGTTCCTACCATTTGCCAGGAACTAGTTACCCCCTTCCAAGTTAGGGACATTTCTTGGGTAATAAAGGTTCAAATCCCTTCGCATACCTGAATTTTATACTCATGCAGTATATAACTTTACTATTTTGTCCAGAATGACATCATCAAAAACTTCAGAGGCTATCTTTTATTTTTGGATGATACAAAAGTGAATATCATGAAATCGTTGAATTGAACTGATAAGGTAATAGTCATTAAAATAAACTCATGTTAATATATATTTGGGTGTTTTAAGCATTCCATTTAAATAGTTATACATATTATCTACAGCCTGTGTATGTATAAGCATATTTGACCATAAAAGTTTTCCCAGTTCAAGCAGATGGCTCCCTTATTTCAATGTCTAGGCAGCAGTTAGTTACTATTAATACATTTTCCTCCCTTCCTTCCTTCCTTGAGGGTACAGGAGGAGGATGAAGATGAATGTATTATATTAAAAAAAAAAAAAGGAAAGAAGGAACATGAACAGATAGTTGGGGCCTCTTCCCCTTAGGAGTCAAGTCAATTCACCACCTAGTGGAGGGATGACTAACCCTCACAAGTCTGAGTAGGGTTAGTATCTTCTCTTGTCCCCCAGTTGGACACTGCTTGGCCTAAAGAACTCAGAGTCACAAGACAAACCCAGGTGGTAGATCAGCCCCTGCGTCTCCCTTTACTACAGCAGAGAAAAACAAGCCCCAAAGAGAGACGGTGACTTCCCAAGGCCATGAGGAGGATCATGGTGGGGCTGGTTGCAACCCTCCTATCCCAGTGTCTCATCCAGGAGAGCTTGGGAATGGCACCAAAGCAAAATTCTTAGAACAAGAGTGCTTTACTAACTAGAATCCACAGGCCTATTTCAGGGACCTAAGAAGCCGCTGGAATTATCTACAAAACTGTATGAGGCTATGTATTTTTTGAGGGAAGCAGTGGGGACCATTTTTGTCAGTTTGAATAAGGTCTACGACTCAAAAAATTTAAGAACCAAGGAATGGGTTTGGGGGGAGGGTTAAAAATGAATGAAATTAATTCCAAACTAAAAGGAGCCCAATTTTTCAATACTCTGAAGGCTATAGTTGGGACAGGTAGTCAGTGAAACCATCTAAGGAGAACACAGCCCTAAACTTTCTGGTCTGGATGGTAAAAGGGATCCTGTGAGAAAAAATGTGTTTATGTAGGCTAGATGTGTCTCCGTAACCACAGATGATGGAGAAAGGAGTAAGCAGTACAAGCTCTATTGATCAGGTGGTCTTGGAAGAACACAGGTCAGAAGTAACAAACAAGCCCGAGTTCTCTGGAATTATGGAAAAGGTTTTGGCAGTAGTTGCCAGAAGACATGAATACAAGGTTTCTACAGCCTTTCAGAGCCGGGGCAGCCTTGACCTCCAAATCCCTGACTCAATCCCTCTCTCCTTGTACCTTCTTGTGGACAAATAGCGAGCCCAGAAAAGGCTCCACACACCCAGGAGACCTAATGTGATCACAGGGGTCTTTGTTTTCTTCTTATTTCTGATGTCAACACCAGTCCCAGGAGTGGCAAAGGCCTTGGTACTTGGCCACAGGGAACTGGATACACGTCAGCCATTGCAATTTCCATGGGAAACAAAAAATATTTTCCTCACTCTATGGATGAAGAAACTGAAGCAAAGGGAGAAATGTCCAAGGTTTTTTAAGGAGGTAAAGAGCCAAGAGTTCTGAGGTTAAGTCTTGTAGCTAAATACCCCTTACCGGCTCTGGTTGGATATTCCATCTCCTTTTAGGAACCAAGCAGTTCTGGAGATTGGAGAAACACTAGTTGCTAAGGATAAGATGTGGGATCCAGTTTACACCATACCCATACATATGGAATCCATCATACATTAAAATAGAAGACTGGAGGCCTCGCGGGTAATTGAGATAGGAAAAGAGAACCTGGGGGTTACTCATCATTTTCCAAATCAAAGGTTTATGTCCCTTTTGGAAAGGAGAAGGAAAACCTGGCTGCAGCCCAGTTTTGAGTAATATTTGCCACTGAGAGGCTGTATGCAAAAATTCCTGGCACAAGCTTTGGAGAGCTCTTCCGATTGGGCTCTGGCCAGTCCTTGTAAATGATTGAGATTTAAAACCCTATCAAATCTAAGAAGCAGGGAGTATCTTTGACACAGTACCATAAATCCCTCTATCTAAAGCTAATTTTAAATTTATAGTAGAAATGTTTGGAAAGAAAATTGTCTGTGTATACCTACATATACACATACAGATTCCTTTAAGTCAAGAAAGGATAGAGAAAAACAGTTACCAGTGATCTGAATGGTTGGATTATGGTTATCTTCTTTGTCCTTAAATATATTTTCTGATTTTTCTGAAATTAAAATATATTGCTTGTGAAATAAAGAATAAAATAAGATGAAGGAAATATATAAAATATAAAAGCTAATAAAGTGTCAGAGAGCCAGAGCTTTCTCATCTAACTGACTCACTGGACAAAAGAAGACACTGGAGGCGGGTGGGAGGGGACCTTGCTTGTGGCCACCTCGGTGGGTCGGCAAGGCACGCAGAGCCAGGACCCTGGAAATCCCCCGACTTCCTGCCCTCCACATTATACTGCTGCAGCTGCTGGATTCCTTAGTGCCCCAAAGCTTGGTGCTAGATGAGCAAGAGTTTTTACAGGGAATTATAAAATTCAAAACGGCAGCCTCAAATGTTATACAGAGTATACCAGAATCCAACTCAAAGAATGGCTGAAATGGAAATCGTACTCACAAAGACAGGAAGACAATTTGTAGGGAAATGGGTGTCCCAAGCTCAGTCACAACTTCTGTACTGAACGATTTCATAAATGTGCCATGTTTTCTTACCTCTGGCTATCATATTAATACATGCAATCCTCCCTGCCTGGAATTCCTCTTGTTCTCTCTCCCAGGTGTTTCTAGAAATTCCTATTTGTCTAACATCAGCTCAGAAGTCACCCTCTGCAAGATATTATCTGGTCTTCCTTGTTTACAAAATTAATTGCTACTATGATTCTACAGTAAGAGCACAGATCTTGAATGTAGAATATATCCCAATGTAACAGAGATCACTATTGGCTTATAGAGCTGTTTCACCCTCTAGTGTTCCTTGATGACAGTGGCCATTTTAATCATCTTTGTATCTCTGGCACATAGCAGGGACTCAAATATCAGTTGAATAAATGAATGTCTGCTAACAGACACACAGTAAAACTAACCATTCCTTCCAAATCTATGATTTGCCTTTCTGTCCTCTAAATGGTGCATTTGCAGAACTCTAAGGTGACAAGTATTTCATGCTTCTTATGATAGGGAAAAACCCCCACCCTGGGGTCCCAATGCTGAACTCACTGCCGATTGATACTTTTTGAATCCCACTGCTGATTGGATATGTAAAGCTGGTTGCTGACTGGATGCTTTTTGGATCCCACTGCTGATTGGATATGTAAAGCTTGTTGCTGATTGGACATGTCAAACTTGTTGCTGATTGGATACTTTTTGAATCCCACCACTGATTGGATAACTCCTCATGCTCATAGTTGACTGGCTGTGTCTAACCCCAAGAAGTGTATAAAACCGGAGGAGAACAAGGAAGCGGTGTTCAGAATTTGGTGGCATGTCCCTCT